TCCCCTCCCCTCCCCTCCCCTCCCCTTCCTTCCCCTCCCCTCATCTGAACTGCAGAGTTGGAGGAGAGGGTGCAAGTTTAGAGGAAAGAGGGCAGGGATGGCTGGGAAAGCAGGAAGGCTGTAATGAGTAGAGTAGACGCATTTCTCCTCTCATAGATATTTCCAACGGTGCCTTTCTGGAGAGACTCCAGTTTGTTTTAATTTCATTTTACAGTAAACTCTGTGTGAATGGACATGAAAGTGCAGTCAAGGTCAGCAGGCCATGGGATGAAACGGACCGGCTCAGAGCAATTCCACCTTCATGTCTATTGACCAGAAACATAACATTAGCTATGCTGAGGAAATCAGAAGATAAAAATCAAAACTCAGTTTTTACATGGCCCCAAGGCAGGCCCTATATTTGCCTTTGCGCAAGCTTTATAATATCTGCTCTAGCCTGACAGGCGTTTGAAAGAACAGACGTTCTTTGAGAAAGTCAAGGAGGCCCTTCCAGTGCTCAGAGGCTGCCCGTCAAGATGCCGGCACAGATAGAGCGGGCCGGTGGATGTGGATGCATGTCTGCCTCACGGGCAAGGGCCAAGACCAGCGTTTCCTGTCTTGGTTTGTTTTTATGCTGGCTATTGTACCTAGGGCCTTGTGAATGTGCTCTACCTGGAGTTACAGGACCTAGAGCTAGGCGTGTGCTCTACCATTGAGTTACATACCCAGTTCTTTCTTCATTTTGAAATTTTATTTTGAGACAGGGTCTCGTTTAGTTCCCCAGGCTGCCCTTGAACTTGCTCAGGCAGACCAGATCTTGCAATCCTCCTGCCTCTGTCTTCCAGAGTAGCTAGGATTACAGGCCTGGATTTTTTTCTTTCCCCTTGTCGTGACCCTAAATGTTTCTAAAAGTCATGAAGAAGGTTCCGATGGGATGGCCTTTAGCTGGTGAGGAGCAGAATGCGGATGATGTTGCCATCAAGGTTGCTGTGATGTGGGTGAAGTCAGACAGATACATGGAGACTGGGTGGAGAAGGCCAGACCCAGGGGTCACAGGAGTGCTTCTGTGGATGACAATAGAAACTCAAATAAGGATGAAGCCAGATCTGGTGGTACAGGCCTGCAATCCACTTAATCTAGTCACTTAAAAGGCCAAAAGGGGCCTCAGCTCAGGCAACTTTGTGAGCTTTTGTCTCAAAGCGAAAACAGAAAGAGTCTGAAGATTTGGATCAGTGGCAGAGCACCTGCCTAGCACTCAAATGCCCTGGATTCAAATCTCTTAGTTCCTCCAGCCCCACAAAGATACACGATGAACTCAGGAGACACCATGTACTAGGGATGTAGCTCAGTGGTAGAGTGTTTGCACAGTACACGTAAGCCCTTGAATGCTTTTAGCTCCCAAACCACAAAAAGATGAACTAAGGACATCATCATCATCATTATCATCATCATCACCATCATCATCACCATCATCATCATCACCATCATCATCACTATCATCATCATCATTCCCTCTCCCTCACTCCCCTCTCTCTTGAGATACAACATATAGCAAAGGGTATGAATCTAAAGTGTCGAGTTGGATGAATTTTCACAAATGTGGTCTGTCTCGACACCCTTCAATTCAGATATTGAACAAAGCCTAGAGTGAAAGACACCCTGATCACAACATTCCAAGGGATGACAGTTTCGAACCTTTACATGTCAGAATAGCCTGTCACTCTAATCTGCCCCCAAGTCCTTGTTGTGGAGAACTAATCATATTAAATGAATGAATACAGATAGCTGCCTTGACTTAGTAGCCATACAGAGCAAATAAGAGCTTTGCTTAACTTAATTAACATAACTGTAATCACCTTGGAGTTTAGCCAGCACTAACATGTGACATTCAGGAGCCAGGCCTTCAGTAACACAAGGTAGACAGATGTTCTAAACTTTGTAGGGGGTCAAGTGAACATTTGTGATGAACTTGGAGAAGGAGAGGTAAACTTGAGGAGGTTCCATCCTTCAGAAAGTCCGAATATGGCCTTTACCCATTCACCATGACTTATTATCTGGTATCTTTTGACTTTTATTATTTGTTTTAAATCCCTAAAGTTTCTTCCAACCTGATAGCGAAGGTACCCAGTGTCTAGATCACAAAGTAACTGTGGAAGAGATGTGGCCTGAAAACGAATCTGAACCGTGTGTGTGTGTGTGTGTGTGTGTGTGTGTGTGTGTGTGTGTGTGTGAACTAATGGTGTGTGAACCTGCAAAGGACAGTGTGCTGTCACCTTGGGAACACTGTGGAGTCCCAGAGGCCCTGGCATCCTCCTAGGTGTCTCTTGAAACTCACAGCGGTTCTAAGCTGCAATATTGATTCTGAGCTCAGCATAGAAGTTCTTTGTATCACAGGAACTTGGGCCCAATTGAAGGACAGGGTCTGTGGCTGTGTGGATTAGAACACAACAGAAGCAGAGATAAGCAATTTCCCTAAGCAGTGGCAAAACCTAGAACAGAGGAAAGCCCCTGGCTAGAAGTTTGGATGAATTAAATAATTAAATAGTATATGCTTATTTGATACCCATTGTTCACACGTTCGTGTTTCTTGAACTTCTCCACTGGCCAGAGTTCTTTGAAAAAACAAAAACTACAGACCTGAACAGGGGTGTTTTCAAATATGCAAAGAGAGCTCTCTTCCAAAAAACTGCATCAGTGACTGTGGACCCGGTAAACCTGGACTCTGAAGAGCCAAAATATAGGTGAGTTGATGGTGTCATCTCAGCTCTGGAATCTGCACAGCAAGGACGGTGAGCTGGAAAGGAAAGCAAGATTTCTGTGTTGCAGTCTTGAGGCTGAATTCCTCCTAAAAGCAGTTTCAGTTCTGTTTTCCGGGCTTCCAATGGATTGGACAAGGCTCTCTTGCTCGACGAACAGTAATGTAATCCTCTGTATTTGAAGTCTATGTTTGTAACTGTTAAATCTCATTTTAAAACACTTCCACATCCATACTGACATTTCACCAAACAACTTGGCACCCAGGCCTGGCAAAGGTGACAGATAAAAGGAACTGTCACAACATTTGATTGTCTAAACCCTATACTAGGGTTTGCAGAGGAAACTCATAGGAAATAAAACCAAAGTTAATAAACCATCCCTTCCCAGGAAGTCTGTCATCCACGCAGAGGGGGCATAAGGACTGTCCTTCTTAGAAATACAACCAGCTAGATTTTGGGTGTAGAATAAAATGTGATTGCAACCATGATTTTAAACGCTCTAACAACTGAAGGGAAGTAAGGAATCTACAGAAGCCAGCAACACCCTGGGGCAAGACTTCTAGAGGACTGTCAGCCCCTAATGATCTGGGCTCCCCTTGTAGAGGGAGGTTCAGGACCAACCAAGATAAGGGATCAAAGAGGAAACCTTCACTTGAAGCTGGATCCCATGAGTCATACATTTTAGAGTCAACTAGAAATGAGCTTCCCGTGTTCCGTGTTGAAAGGGATATCAAGGAGACGTCATACTGGATGGAGTTGGTCTTTGTATGGTTTTTTGTTTGTTTGTTTTTACCTGAATCTGCACTATCTCTGTGATCTGAACACCATTGGAGAATTGAGTTCAAAGCACTTCCAAGGCACAGTGTCCTCAGGCAGCTAAGGACTGGTGCAGATCTTTTCTGTAATCGTCAGCTACAACTCAGGTTTCAAAGAATCCCTACAGATGAGTACCAAGAACACCACGTCAGCATCAAAAATCACCAGCCCCATAAACAAGGCACAGTGAATGACTGTTGGCAGAATTAAGTGCACAAAAGAAATCTCCTGTTCTGAAATCTTTGGACTCAGACTGCAAATACTTTTCATTTGTTTTTTAGAAATGAAAGTTTGAAAATATGAACAAAGAACAGGAAAGAATTTTTTAAAAAATAGAATTTCTAGAAATCAAAAACCCTGAAGTGGTACTATAAACCAGAAATTGAACAGATAAAAGAGAATTAGTAAACTGGTAATGAGATGTGAAGGAATTATTCAAAGTTAGTCAAGACACACAAAGACAGAATACATGAAAAAGTGGGGTAAGAAACCTAGAGGCTAAAAGGGGAAAGTCTGTTGTAAGTCTAACAGGCATCCTCATTATTTCTAGAATTACTGAAGATCCTCAGATCTAGTATCCAGGAAACCAGCTGATCCAATCCCAATAAATAATAAATCACTGTAAGAGAATAAAGGGACCACAAAGATATAAAGAAAGTCATATAACATCTGGAGAGAAAGCCAAAAGAAGCTTGGCCTAGTGGCACACAACTGTAATCCTAGCAAATGGGAGGCTGGGCCATGAGGGCAGGTGTTTAGGGACAGCCTGAGCTACAGAGTACATTTCAAGCCAGTTGGTCTACACAGTGAGTGTCTACCTCCGAGAGAAAGAAAGGAAGCAAGGTAGGGTGGTAGTGGCACACTCCCTTAATCCCAGCACTTGGGAGGCACAGGCAGAGAGATCTCTGAGTTCAAGGGCAGCCTGGTCTACAGAGTGAGTTCCAGACAACCAGGACTGTTACACAGAGAAACCTTGTCTTGAGAAAAAAAAAATGAAACAAAAAATCAAGAAAGGTATAAAATAACAAGAAACAGTAAATAGTGTTCTATAACATATTAAAAGGCAAAGCAGAGTAATATTTAGTGTGTACAACATACAAGAAAAAAAGAAGTCAATCTAGAATTTTTATACCCAGAAAACTTGTCAAAAACATACATGAAATAAAGAAATAATAAGAGTTTATTTAATGCCAAAAGATACTCAGGAGAAACTACAAGAGTACATTCTAAGAGAAACAGACTAGACTACAAGAACAAGTGGTTAACATGCTGGTTAGTTTTATGTCAGCTTAACACAGTCTAAAGCCATCTGGAAGAGGGATCTTCAATGGAGAAAATGTCCCCACCAGATTAGCCTGTGGGTAAGCCTATGCTACATTTTCTTGACTGATGATTGGTTTGGGAGGGCCCAGTTCCCTGTGGGCCATGCTGCCCCTGGGCTGATGGTCCTGGTAGCTATGCAAGATGAGCAAGCCATGAGGAGTGAGTAGACAAGCAGGACTCCTTTACAGCTTCTGCTCCAGTTCTGGCCTCTAGTTGGCTGCCCTGCTTGAGTTCTTGCCCTGACTTCACTCAGGGATGGACTGTGATGTGGAACCGTGAGCTGAAATAAACCTTCTCCTTCCCAAGTTGCTTTTAGCTGTGTTTTTATCATAGCAGTAGAGCCCCTAACTAAGATGGTAAACAGTATGTTGTTCATAATGTGTTAAATACTGCACTTACTTTTATAAATTTTAAGAATAAACTAGAACTTAGTATCAAATAAATAAACTGGAAAATAGGTCACTAGAGTTAAAAAAAAAGTATTAAGATCCTTGCATATCTCAGGAAGAAAAGAAAAATTTGAAACTAATATATTTAAGTAAAACTAGTGCTTAAATACCTAAAATATACAGTAATGGAAAAGACACAAAATATAACATGCAAATCCAGACTTGCAGAGGAGAAAAATACTGAAATTCAATTCATCATCAAGTAAGGAGGAAAAGAAAATGAATAAACAAGACAGGACAGATACAACAGAAGCCACCCAATAAGGCATCAGAAATAAAACCAGATATAATGGTAATCAAAAGAAATATAAGAGGAAAATTCAGGCATTTTTTGTTTATGAAGATTATTCATAAGAACACAGAATGGCTGAAAGTAAATTATAAAAGAAAAGTAACTAAGACAGTACAGATAATTACTAAAGGAGAGAGAGAGAGAGAGAGAGAGAGAGAGAGAGAGAGAGAGAGAGAGAGAGAGAGAAGGCTGGCACTATTGTTTAACCACACCAAAAAGATTTTGTGTGTCTGTGTAATACTGAGGACCAAACCAGAGAGAGCTTTATACATGCCAGGTAAACACTGGCACTAAGCTGTCTCCAGTCCCCCAAAAGATTTTAAGACCATGGTGGGAGGTAATACTTATTATTGACAACTAGAGTCATTGCAAAATGGCAAAAGTTTTGATACATTAAAAGATATCACAGCTCTAAACTGATTTGTCCTTGATAGATGTGACAAAGATTGGGAAAACATAAATGGAGACAAGTCCAAACATCTAATGGCATGCTCTGCAGGAGAATGAGACAATGGATGTTGACCAGTGGGGAACAGGGATGGTGGCTAACAGGGCTGGAAATGTATGGTGGAACCAGATTACAGCAGGTACTGTAAGTCAGAGGAATCCAAACTCACTCAGTGCAGTAGAAAACTGGTACACAGTTATAGTCTTGCTGGGGTTGGCAGGGAATACAACAGAAATGGTGATATACGATGAAATCCAGAAAATATGACTATTTGCGAGGTGGGATGGATGAAGAGTGTGGACCAATAAAGAGGTTGAAATACCTTGGATTTGGGCATGGAAGAACCTGAAAAGAAATCTGTGTCTAAGAATAGTGCAAGTCTGTTGAATTGTTTTCTTTCCTCAGACAAAATCAGTAGGACATTGTGACTCACTAGTGAACTCTTTTTATCTTCAGACGTGACTGAAGGTGAATACAATTCCCCAAAATGTCCTGGTAAAAAAAGAAGCTTTGTTGATACCCAAGGGAGGCCTGTCCCTTTCTGAAAAGAAGCAGAGGAGGAGCCAGGTGGCGGTGGCACATGCCTTTAATCTCAGCACTTGGGAGGCAGAGGCAGGCAGATCTCTATAAGTTTAAGACCAGCCTGGGCTACAGAGTGAGTTCCAGGACAGGCACCAAAACTACACAGAGAAACCCTGTCTCGAAAAGCACCCCCTCCAAAAAAGAAGAAGAAGAGGACGGGGGAGGGAGGGGAAACTATGGCCCGGATATAAAATAAATTAATAAATTTAATTAATTAAAAGAAGAAGAAGCTGGGCTCCTTCCTATCTGCTTCCTGGAAGGCTCACCTTCTTTATCCTCAGGAACTAAGCTCAATGGCCCACCTTACGTGAATCACCAGGTCCTTTATTCTTGGGCCCTAAGAGATCATTTTAAAATGTTCGCTGAAGGGCTGGGATTGGGACTCTGGTGGAGAGCCTGCCTAGCATGTCTGAAACATTGGCCTAGGAGAAAAGGAAGCAGCAAGCTGACTGAGGGAAGCATCTTGGGAAGACTTTGCAGTGTTAGATCATTTAAAGACTCAGGGTTTTTTCTATTTTTTTTATTTAATTTTTTTTTCTCATTTTACATACCAACGGCAGTTCTCTCTCCCTCCCCTTCTCCCACTGCCCCCCCCCACACCTCACCCCCATCCACTCCTCAGAGTGGGTAAGGCTTCCCTTGGGGTGTCAACACAGACGAGCATACCAAGTTGAGGCAGGACCAAGCCCCTCCCTCTTGCATCAAGGCTGAGCAAGGTGTCCCACCATAAGGAATGGGCGCCCCAAAAGCCACTTCATGCATCTGGGATAAGTCCTGGTCCCACTGCCAGGGGCCCTATGAACAGATCAAGCCACACAACTATCACCCACATTCAGAGGGCCTAGTTCCGTGCCCTGCAGGTTCCCCAGCTGTCAGTCCAGAGCTCCCACTAGCTCGAGTCAGCTGTCTCTGTGTTTTTCCCCATCATGGTCTGCCCTCCCCACTTGCTCATATAATCCCTGCTCCTCCCTCTCTTCAACTGGACTCCAGGAGCTTGGCCGTGGATCTCTGCATCTGCTTCCATCAGTTACTGGATGTTAAGTTCTATGATGACAATTAGGGTAGTCACCAGTCTGGTTACAGGGGGAGGCCAGTTCAGGGACCCTCTCTGCTATTGTTAGGAGTCAT